CAAAAAAATATCATGACATTAATAGTTTCGTGACATCCATCTCATCCATTTCTATCTTTTGTGCATATTTACAAATATATACAATTTTATGCGAATATATACATTTAACTTATAAGTTGCTTATCTTTAATTCCTTCCTTTTCTATCTGTCTTAATTCGATCCAATTATACCATTTTCCCCAAATTCTATAATATTGAGACTCCTCTTTCTCTTGTATCATTAAAGTCAATTTGTCCATTTCAGCTCATGCCATTATTTTTTGAATGATCAGTTCATCCGATGGTATGCAGTTGTGCTTCCAGAATTGAGCACAAGCTATTCTAGCAGCTGTTAAGATGTGTAATACAATATATTTTATATTTTTTCCACATTTCTTTTTCAATATCCCTAATAGAAATAGTTCTGGTTCCAATTCCACTTGTTCCTTAAGAATTCCTTGCAGCCATTGTTCTTGATATATTTTAGCTTCCAATCCCCTAATCATCTTTGCTGCTCTTCTCTGCACTAGAAAGAGTCTCAATATCTTTTTTTTTTTTACATCGTGGTGACCCAAACTGGATTCAAGTTGGCTTTACCAAGGCATTATAAAGTGAAGTTCACACATCCTAAAATTGCCAACGTGGAGAAACAGTGATCTAACTCTAAACATCTGTGTCTATCACACAGCTGTGCTCCTGTCCAAGGTTGTCTAAGGTTTTCTGAACCCTTACAAGACAATTCTCATCCACAGCAAGCAAAGAGGCCTTGAAATAATCATTCTCTTGTTATTTTGGGAAGTGGGAGAAATAGAAATGGAGAAGGAAAAAAAAAAAGGAGACTGCCCTGAATTCCTTAAAGAGGGATTAGATAAATATGTACAATTAATTATTAACTTTTTCTTCATTAACCTTCCCCAAGGAAAGCCACCAGCTGTCAATGTAAGCAAATCAGCCCAAACTTTTAATAGTTTTATTGCAACAATGTCATAATTCGTATGAGTGAAAGAGAGAAAGAGAGATGGAAGAGAACAAATTCAGAGAACACATTTATTTAATTTTATTTACTAAGGAACAAATTTATTAGTGAATAACCCATTCAATAAAAGGAACAAGTACAAATGAAGAGGCACATTTGCAAAACACGTGCCATTAATTACTACGAACATGGTGTGTTCGGTTTAGTTTTAGCTTATTGTTTTCGCAGCTATGTTTTCATAACACACATAAAACAGGTCAGTGGGTTCATTTCGATAACATGCTGAGTTTCCTTAGAATTCACTTGATATTTTTTTTTCTTTAAGGCTTAGCATGTTGCATGAATGCAGCCTGTCAGATTAGTTCAGCTACGGTGCAATTCCAGACAAATGCATTCCTTCCTTAATCAAGTTAATCCAATTTGGTTAGTTCATTACAGGTAGTCCTCAACTTAGCCCAAAAATTTATGTTGCTAACTGAGACACTTGTTGATCTTGCCCCATTTTACGACCTTTTTTGCTAGAGTCGTTAAGTGAATCATTGCTGTGGTTAGTTTAGGAACATGGTTGTTAAAGTGAATCTGGCTTCCCCATTGACATTGGTCGCCAAAGGGGATCCTGTCATCCCAGGAACGTTGCAACCGTCATAATTATGAGTCAGTTGCCAAGCGTCCGAATGTTGATCACATGACCATGGGAATGCTGTAATGGCCGTAAGTGTGAAAAATGGTCATAAGTGACTTTTTTCAGTGCCAATTTGACTTTGAACAGTCGCTAAATAGCAGTAGCACTTAGACTTATATACTGCTTCATACTGCTTTACACAGCCTCTCTAAGCGGTTTACCAAGTCAGCATATTTGCCCCCAACTATCTGGTCATATTGAGCAAGTTGAACTGCCGAACTGCTGGCAGTCAGCAGAATTAGTCTGCAACACTGCATTCTAACCACTGTGCCCTGTTATAAGTCGAGGATTATCTGTATTGTCTGAATCCAGAAAATTTAAAAAAACCCCACCATATTGTTTCTTTCCACCCATCATATTGTGGCTTGTAAAGACTGACGTATCCTGGTTTATGGTTGAGCACAACCTGTCAATTAAGCCGGTGCTAAACTATTATCAAGTTTGTGTAATAAGTAAAAGGCAGAGCTGAACTTTGCTATCATTCAAGGAAGAAGGAGAGTCAGGATTAAATTCCAGTTTTCTGAAATGTTTCCAACTCAGCAGGACTTAAATTTCTAAACAAGGATCAATTCTGTTTTCTTCTTTTAGAAAGAAGAAAACCACTTTCCGCGTCCATACGAAAGATGGTTCCCCGTGTTGAATTTACACAACGTGCTAATCTATATATATAACAAGCGAAATGCCACTCACTCATCATCACAAAATCTCCAGAACCGTAAAGCCTACAAACTTGAAATTTGGCATGTATGTTCCTTTTGGCTTCTAGGTGCTCACTAAGAAAGGATTTTTAAAAATGACCATCAGAGTATTAGTATTTCCTATATTATTATTATTAACACGCTCTGATGCTAAGGAGTTCTACTCCCCCTCCCCACCTGAAAAGAAATCTCTTCCAAATGCAAAACACAAGCAAAGGAGTTTCAGTTTTAATTTCACAGCAGCAACCAGCTTTAGTACAGAACAGTTGAGCTAAGTCACACCCAGGCTCCTTGCTGTCTCCTTCTTGCTCTCACAGCAAATACTGTTTCAATTTCCAAACTGAAACAAATCCTAATCCAGTAGGTTGTATGAACCAAAGTTTGTATATCTAGGTTCCTCGCTTCTGCTGGGAAATACTAAATGCAAGCCAGGATCAGACAGAAGATGGGAGCTTCTGACCGGATTTTTCCCTACGCTGAGCCAAACCAAATCAACCACATGATGGTTTAGTGGAAGGGGGTCTTCAACCATAGCAACTTTAATTCTTCAGCCTGGCTGAGGAATCCTGGGAGTTGAAGTCCGCAAGTCTCAAAGTTGCTGAGGTTGGAGACCCCTGGTTTAGTGCAACTTGTGAAGCCAGCCGAATGGTGTCACTACCATAAATCGGGCCTTAGGGCCTTGTTGGAACCAGCCTACGGGCACTCCTTGACTTACGACCGCAATTGAGCCCATCATTTATGTTGCTAAGCGAGACATTTGTTAAGCGAGCTTTGCTCCGTTTTAACGACCTTCCTTGCCACAGTTGTTAAGTGAAGTTAGGAACACGGTTAAGCGAAATATGCCTTCCCCATGGACTTTGCTTGTCAGGGTGCAAAAAATTTCAAGTGACCCCGGGAACCGCTACCGTCATGAGTCTGTTGTCGAGCATCCGGATTTTGATCCCCGGGGAGACTGCAGAGGTCATAAGCGTGAAAAACGGTCCATAGTCACGTTTTTTAGTGCCGTTGTTAACTTTGAACAGTCACTAAGCAAACTGTTGTAAGTCGAGGACTACCTGTATTGTGCTGGGTTCAATACGCCACAATTTGGTGAAAAATGACGCCTGGATAACGCCCAAACTCAATTTCCCTCTCCAAAGCTGAACTCCAGGAATGGGTGTGGGTAGTCCTTGACTTACGACCACGATTGAGCCCAAAATTTCTGTCGTTAAGTGACACATTTTTTTAAACTGAATTTTGCCCCGTTTTACCACGTTTCCTCTCACAGTTGCTGAGTGAATCACTGCAGTCGATAAGTTGGCAAAATGAACCGTGAAGGGAATCCAGCTTCCCTCGCTGACTCTGCTTGGTCCGATAGGCGGTCGCAAAAGGGGATCGCATGACCTTGGGACACGGCAACTGTCATAAATAGGAAGTGGTTGCCAAGCATCAGAATTTTGGAAATGCTCTAAAGGTCGTAAGTGTGAAAAATGGTCATCAGTCCCTTTTTTTCAGTGCCGTTTTCTACTTTGAGAGGTCACTAAATGAACTGTTGTTGAGGACTCTGTGTATGTGTGTGTTGTGTGTGTGCGCATGCATGTGTGGTTGAGGACTATGTGTGTATGTGTGTGTGTGTTATGCGTGTGTGGGGTTGAGGACTCTGTGTGTGTGTATCGAAGACTGTGTGTGTGTGTGGATGAGGATTGTGTGTGTATGATCGAGAATGTATGTGTGTGTTGTGTGTGTGGTTGAGGACTGTGTGTGTGTGTGGTTGAGGATTGTTGGTGTGTATATGATTGAGGATGTATGTGTGTATGGTGTGTGTGTGGTAGAGGACTGTGTGTGTGTATACTGAGGACTGTGTGTGTATATGATCAAGGATTGTGTGTGTGTGTGTGTGTTGTGTGTGTGGTTGAGGACTATGTGTGTGTGTGTGTGTATATGGAGGACTCTGTGTGTGTGTGTGATTGAGGATTGTTTGTGTGTGTATGATCGAGGATGTATGTGTATGTGGTAGGACTCTGTGTGTGTGTGTGTGTGTGTGTATCGAGGACTCTGTATGCGTGTGTGTTGTGTGTGTGTGGTCGAAGATTGTGTATGATCGAGGATGTATATGTGTGTGTGTGGCCGAGGACTCTGTGTTTGTGTGTATGATCGAGGACTGTTTATGTGTGTGCGCGCGCGTGTGTGGTCGAGGACTCTGTGTGTGTGTGTGTGTGTGTGTGTGTGTGTGTGTGTGTGTGTGTGT